TTTTTTTTGGTTTTTCTCCGGTACCGGGAACCAAACTCACGACCTTGCGCTTGCCAGGCAGGTGCTTTTGCTGCTGAGCTAAATCCCCAGCCCCAAAATTGGAAGTATATTTGGCAAGTGGATGAAATAGGAAAGAAAAACATGAAATAATCATATTGGTAGTGTTATAGTTCTGAGGTACAGTCATGATTATTCATTTTATTAATATCACCATAATTTAAATTTATTCTAAATGGATCAAGTACATATGATTTCACAATTTGCATATTTATTTAAGGTTTGTTTTGTTTTTGGAAACAGGAACTATATAGTCCAGGGTGCCTTGCTCTCAAACTCTAGATCCTCCTCTCTCAGCCAGTGCTGGAATTGTATGGAAAGCTAGTACTACGGATGGTAAAATAATTTACCAACAGTCAAGAAATATGGAAGAGTGAAAAGTTTGCTGATACACCACAAAAGAGAAGGGATTAAAGGGAGGGGAGAGGAACGGGGAAAAAAGAAGCAAGATATATCATGTACAGGTACAAATTTCATATGATGAATGTTATCACTACGTATATCTAAAATGTACCAATAAAACAAAACAAAGGAGTGGGGAAGTTCCAAAAGAGAATCTTTATACTATATTTCAATGTGAGGAGGAGTCCGAGAAAATTATCCCTATAACACCTTCTTCAGGTCATGGTTATTCTTTTGTGCATTCATCTTAGATCTAGATATAGCCAGGTGTTGTGTGGAGACTGACTTTATATCTGTTTGACAGGGTCTAGTACCTGCAGCATTTCTGGAAACAATTCCTGCAGGTAAAATTGATAAGCAAGTGTGCAAAGATTAAATAGAGTTAGTGGTAGGGTGGGAGAATAAAGTATGTGTTTACACTTGAAAGGGACTTTTGAAGTTCTATGGGACTAGGAGAATAAATGCTATTCTTCAAGGTATGCTAGAACTTGTTTGTGCATGTTGCTTGCAAGGAAGAAAGTATATATGCTACAGGCTCATCACTCACCTACAATATGACTTTTAAAGAAACAATAATAAAATAATCACACACCTCCAGGTGCCTAGTTCAATTTGCGTATTATAACAATGTTCACATTTATAAAATTGTTCAAAAAACAAAACCTGGATTTCCTGAAAAAACAAGTTAACTGGGGGAAAATCCTTGTCAGCATACCAAAGGTCAGTACGTATACTTTTATGTAAAGAAAAATTTGTATACTTTTCATTCAGTTTCTTGACGCAGTGGGATGGCACGAGGAATAATCGTACAGAATAATGTCACTGCCCTAAGCGCGAAAACGAATTTTGTGTTTTTCTTATGTTAGTCACAGGGGGTAAAAACTCAGAAAACGTTCATGGAAATATGTCCTGTACAACACCCATTCACACTTAGGTCGTCTAGTCAGTACTGAGCAAATAACTTACAACGGAAAAAGCAATTGGTAAAAGCCATCCTTCTCAACTGTAACTTTAGAACTGAAATGAACTCTCATAGCTTTCTTGATTACTTTTATGTATCTCGGAGTGGTTCCTCCAAACTTCTCCATAAGTGCAGAGCAATCACATGTAAAAAGTGACTTACAAGAAAAGCAGTTATGCAGGGACAGGGCAGAGCGGGAGCTTTAAGGGAAGAGACACACTAAAACGGAAAAGCTATTCTCCAGAAGAAAGGGATTATAGATGCAGGAATTTTGCATACTAAGATCGCTAAAAGAATATACAAAAACGGAGCAAAAGTTTCAAGGGCTCTTTTATCGCGTAATGACAGTATGGAAATTCGTATTTGGACGTCTACCTTTAAAACAGACTGTAAGAGTCGTTTGGCTTCAGCAAATCCAGCCAAAGATGGCGGTGGGACGAAGCCCTTTCACCTCCCGCCACCAAAGGAGTTAGCCTCACTTTTCCCACAAGCCCCTCCGCGCGGCTCGAGCCCCAGAAAAATGCCTCGCTGGTGTCCCACAACTGCGCACGCGCGAGGCGACGTCACGCGCGCTCCCAAGGTTGACGAAGCTGGCGGGAGGGGCCTCGCTAGCTAGCTTCCGCTGGCGTTTAGTTTCAGGGCTCCGACGGCGGGTTCGCGCTGCCTCCGCCGGCGCCGTCGCCGCCGCCAACGCGGGGCAAACGGGGGGCGCCGAGCCAAGCGAGGAGCGCGTGGCCGGGTGGCCATGGGACTGCGCCAGGTCCGGTGACAGCAAGGAGCGGAGCGGCCCGGGCCCTGAGCGCGTCTCCTTCGGGGGGCCTCGCCCTCCTGCTCGCGGGGCCGGGGCTCCTGCTACCGTTGCTGGCGCTGCTCTTGGCGGCGGCGGCGGCCAGGATCATGTCGGGCCGCCGCTGCGCCGGAGGGGGCGCGGCCTGCGCGAGCATGGTAGCCGAGGCCGTGGAGCCGGCCGCCCGCGAGCTGTTCGAGGCGTGCCGCAACGGGGATGTGGAGCGAGTGAAGAAGCTGGTGACGCCCGAGAAGGTGAACAGCCGCGACACGGCGGGCAGGAAATCCACCCCGCTGCACTTCGCCGCAGGTAACCGGGATCAGCGCCGCCCACCTACACTGCCGGGGCGCGCAGGCCCGAAATCGCGGAGTGCCTCCGACCGTCCGTGCTCCCCAGGGACTCTAGTCTTGGCGATCTCAGAAATTGGGAAAATTAGTGGTGGGCAGCGTACCGCATTTACTGGAGTTGGGTTTTTTTTGGGGGGGGTGGCTTTGTTTTGTTTTACAGTATCAGCAATACCTGTACCTACTTCCGGTCTTGCTTCCCTGAAAGGCCCCCACACAGAAGAAATAATGGGGGAGGTAGTGTAGATCTTGTGATTCGAAACACTTAATTATCTCAAAAATTTACTGCTCTTGCAAGTTCTGCTGTAATTTATCAGTCCTCTGGGTCTTAGAGGCCTTAGTGAGATTCGAGGGTGTAATTTAGGAGGAGTTGCTTAATGGACTTTTGACACATTAGAATTAATTCGTTTATCAGCCAATCATTGGCAAGTTTCTAGAAAAACTAGAATTAGAAATGGGCAAGTTTGGAAGAACTGAGGACTTAGGCTAGGTGCAGGAAGTCAGGCACACACACGTTGAGGTGGAAAGTAGCTTGAGAAAGAAGATGGTGCAGATACTTCAGCTTGAATCTGGAGTTTATGCTGGGACTCACTTTGCCTCACTGAGATGTTTAGGTTGCTTGAATTACTTCCTTCTACTGTAACTACTAGGTTCACTTAATGATGATACCAGAATGATAAAAATAGTGGGAATATTTAGCAGAGCCAGAGATGGGAGAGAGCAATTTTCTTATAAGGCATTTATGGTTTTTATTTTGAGGAAAGGTTGTGACTACATCTAACCTCAAGTGAACCATGTGTGATTGAAAATGGGAGTAAATTTCCATTCTGATAATCCTGGTGTTTATTTGGTGTATAGCATGATTTTTAAAACAATTTTTTGAAAAAGCAAGGGATGCATTTTTACATTCCCTGTTCTTTTGGGGCAGAAATGATGTGCAGAGGAACATGAGAAAAATGTTCACAGACATTGCCTTTACAATTTCTGCCAAATGGAGATTTGTTTGCTTTAACCTGTTCCTATTTTAAAAAGTAAACACTTCCAGGAAGCATGCTTTCTTTATCAATTGCACCTTTGTTCGGTTTCCATGGGGAGCCTTTTAAGGGGAAAAAAAAGGTTTAGGGAAGGTAGTCAGGAGTACTAGAAACGGGGGCAGTGGAAAGGAAAGTGAGAATACTGGAGTCAGATGTCACCTAGATAATCATTTTGCCTGAGATTTTGGTGGACAGTGCTGCCTTTCTCCAGCTAATTTGAATTGCCCTGTTTGACCATGTAGTCAACATTTAACTGATTTGGCAAACAGTCACAAACAAGCACCACACAATCCAAAGGGTAATATTACTTAGATTATGTTCATTTGATCTGTGAGATAAAAATAACCAAGGAAGATCTTAGTTACTGCCTTTCAAGAATTTGGTGTATTAATGAGTTCATATCTGAAAATAGTAATATTTGGAGGTGTGCTATTATGGTATTAGCTTCTCACTGACCTTGTTCTTCCTCCACCATCCCACCTTTTGTTCTCTCCCAACCTTTCAAAACATTTTTTTTTCACTGCCTTCAAAGCATTTTTTAGCATAGATTTCATGTTGTTTGGTCAGATTGAGATGGAAAATAATATTTTAGGAGCAAGCCTACCCATCACAATTTACCCATATTATCAGGTGTACGTTATACGATTTGAAAAATTAAGGTGTAAACTATACACAGTGACTTACAACTGTAATTCCAGCTCCTATGCATGGTAGCTAAGGCCCGAGGATCACAAGTTCTACAACAACCTGGGGAAATTAGCAAGACCCTCTGTCAGAATTTAAAACCAAAAAGGAATAAAGCAGCCTTTGGTTCTATCCCGTGTTCAAAATCCCCAGTATCAAAAAAAGAAAAAAATGTATAAAAAGAAATAATAAAATAAGTATAACCAGCTGCATTTTCTTTTTAATATGTGCAGAATTACATTTCATGATCTCTTTTGTTGGTACTGAATTGTGAATCATGTTAATGTAGATGTAAGCATATGTTTAGCTATCCAATGTAAATGATGCTACTATGTAACCACCTGACCAAGCAGTTAGCTGTTTGTACATTACAGAGAATGATTTGGGGGATGAGGAGCAATCACACTTTTTTTTAAAATAAAAGTCGGCCAATTAAAATTTGGAGGTTTTATTGGAAGAAGACATATTTTTGTCTTTTAGTTTTGCTTCTCAATAACACCAGGAAAGAGAGATGTGTGCAGACAACACAAAATAAAGAACAAAACTTTTTTCATTCAAGAAAACATTCAATTAATCAGTTGCCAGTCATAGGGGAGATAAATTCTGTTAAAGAAAAAAGATAATTAACATAAACAAGAGCTTTTTTATTAGTTTTTTTCTTGTTATTGAAATATTACACACTTGCAGGTAACTGTGACTTAAGCCATTTAATTTTTTAGAAGAAAATTACTCAGAAATTACTTTTACAAAAAGGAAAAAAAGTTACTTTACCATCCACCCTTTGCCTGCCTCCTCCCAGTATACCCACACCCCACCCTTAGACACACACAGAATATGAATGATTTTTGTGACAGGGACTTGTAGAGGCAAGTTGGCGTTAAGACCACTTTGCTCTAATTTTACTAAAAGGAAGACTATCTGAAATTCTAGACATTGTAATCCCCTAGAAAACAGCAGATACCAATTTTGAAGACTGCTTTTCCAAACTTATTACTGAAAAATAAGAGGGGACAGAAACTTTGGGAGAAAGTCATCTTTGTGCCCATCATAGTAAAAGAAAAATAAAAAGCATTCCTTAGAATCTTAGAACTGAGATGACTAGAGTGGAACTTTAGAACTTGAGAATCTTAAATCCATATTCTTTCAGAGAAGTATTATCCAGTAGAGAAAAATTTAAAGTCATTCATTAGGTTGAGGAAATTGAAAGGAACAGTTAATGTTTAAAATTTTTATATTCTGACCAATTTTGGATGCTTATATCTGGTACTCTGAGCAACTGATGTGAAGACAACAGTATGCAATGGAACAACCATTGGTGAATTCCTACCATCTTGTCTAGTGAAACTCTGTATTATCGCTAATGTTTTATCTAATAATTTTTTTTAATTCTCTTTAATAGTTTGAACAATCTTCCATTCTTACATCTGGTAATCTGAGCAATGTAGTTGAAGATAACAATATGTGATATAGGGGCTGGGGATTTAGCTCAGCGGCAAAAGCGCCTGCCTGGCAAGTGCAAGGTCGTGAGTTCGGTTCCCGGTACCGGAGAAAAACCAAAAAAAAAAAAAAACAATATGTGATATAACAACCACTGTTAATTCCTGTCATTTTGTTTTGAAACCCTGTGTCACTGTTAATGTTCTTGTTTTGTTTTGTTTATGTTTGTGATGTTGGTATGCTGCTATTTTTTTTTTTCTTTTACTACTCTCTTTAAAATAAAAAATTTTAAAAAAAGAAATTCAGTATATACATAGTGCTAACAGTTGATAAATATATTTTAGAAAACAAATTGACAAGAAGCTTATATTGTAAAGTTTTAGTTAAGATAAATACTATCTTAGTTAAGATACTACTAATCTTTAGTTAAGATACTACTTTGATTTGTAGTATGTTATTGTTCCATATCCTTTGGATCAGTTACACTGAGCTTGGAATTATTACACTCAATTTTGTAAGTGAGTTGAATATGTTGTTTGGTTTTTTTTTTCTCAGTACTAGGGATTAAACCCAGGGCCTTGGCAAGCACTCTACCACCAAGCTACACCATTTTTATTTTTTGAGACAGGATCCTTCCATACTGCCCAGGCTGACCTCAAACTTTCCATCCTTCTGCCTCAGTCTCCCTAGTAGCTGGGATTATACATTCATGGCATTTTACCCAGCTAAGAGGAAATTTTTTTTCCGGAGGAGGGAAATGAAATTAGAGAATCTAGAATTTGTCATACGAGCAACACAGATGAAAACTACAGTTATTTTAGAGATGAAGAAAAATTAGACCATGTTACCATCTTCACATATATGGTAGATTCATGGAGCAGAGTGAATATGGCTGTTGTAGCTTTGCAGCCAAAACTTAAGCAAGTAGTGTAGCAGAAAAACCAATACTCAAATGGAAGACTCTGCACTGAGGAGCTAGAAGGCAACTTTTATTACACTAGGGGCTGGGGAATCCAGAGGTTCAGATCACCAGCCCAGAGTTAGGTATGAGTTCAGTTTAAATATGGTTTGCAAGTGGGAAATACAAAGCTGATAGCAGGTTGGTTATATTGGAGTACAAGAATTATGTCATATATTGTCAGGTTTGTATGTGAACATTTGCAGGGAGTGGGGTCTGAGAAG